TTATGGTATTTTATTTTGTAGGAAATTGGAAGTGCTAGTGATAAAGGAAAGGAGAGTCGTGCTTGTGGGGGAGATTATGGAGAGAGAAGAGGAGATCTACTTACCTTAAATAAGCTATTTATGTGGAAGGAAATCAAGGTTGGAGTCCTATGCCTTGTAGAAGACTCCAACCCTAAGGAGATTCTTTTTAAATACCCGTATGCAAGCTCTTATTGCTGCTGCTGAGTTTTGAAGATTTTTAGAGCAATAATTGAGCTTCGTATTTTCTGTTTCAAGTTGAGTTGTACACAGTACAGTCTGAGAGTTCGAACTAACTCAAGGACTGAAGCTGTTTTTATTTAGTTCTTTGTGTTTCATCAAAAACTACTTTACAGTTTATACACTTAGGGAGTAAGTGTAGGTTATTAATGTCCACGGGACGTGGCCGGAGAATTAGTTGATAGGATCCGTGTAGTGTTGGCTAGGCTTGAAGGGAGTTCGAGTCGTTGTAAGTCCAAGCTATGTGTATGTTTGATCTATCAATGAAAGAGCTCTGAGGGGAAGTGGGACGCTTCCTTGAAGAGTTTTAAAATCTTCGGTTTATTGCTTCCGCATTGTTCAGTTCTTATTTCAGTTCGTACCACCATTAAGCGCACTCCGTAATAAGTATACGTTTCATAAAGTTTTAAAAAATATTTACAAATCCAAAAACATACACCCATTTAATACAAGTTTTTATTTTGACATTTGTTCAAAGAAAAAAAAAGACACGACGTTACCACAATCCATCGGTGAACATAAAACTCATAAAATACACCCCTTGATACAATTTTTTTTTTGGTCTGATATTGTTGTTGAAAAGTCTGCGGCCCGCTCCCCAGCAGCCATAATATTCCAACCCAAACTCACTTTTTTGGCGGGGCGGGGCGGGGCGGGGCGGGTTGGCCCACGAATTTCAATCCGTGTTGACAAGTTTGTATATGATAATTGAATCCATATAATATTATCAATATAATTGATTAATAACAATTAATAATTTTTATAAATCACACCAATTTTAATTTATTAATACATACATAATTTTAACGAACTATCATTTCAAATAAATTTTCTCTTACTTTTATATAAATCAAAATTAACTATTGATAAAAAAGAACTCGTTTTGAATGAATATATTTTTATCTATATAGGCCGACAAACCCAAAATATACACACCTCTAGACCAAGTTTTGATTTTGACATCGGTGTTGAAAATAAAAAAGATACGAAGCCCCTCATTCAACCTAAAACCCTTGCTCTGCCCTGCAAGTCCAACTCGAAAAAAAGTTTTGATTTTGATATCGCTATTGAAAAAAAAAAAGTACGGGACGCCCCCCTTTGAACCTAAAACCCTTGCTCTGCTCTCCAACTCGGCAAGCCAAACATGGCCACGCTCTCTGACGCCCGGGCAGTTAAGTCTCTCAACAATTCATCCGGCCGCCGCCGCTTTGTGGTACGTTCAAACGGAAAATTTGTATGTGTGTCTACATGTTTCTCTATGTGCGCGCTCCATGGCTGACAATGAACGCGCTGCACAGA